GGAGGGGGGAGAAAAAGAAATTGGCAGGGGAGGGGGGAGGAGAAGAAATTGGTAGGGGAGGGAGGAGAAGAAGAAATTGGTAGGGGGAGAAGAAATGGGGAGGGGGAGAAGAAATTGATGGGGCGTGAGTGTGACAGGGGAGGGAGGGGCAATGAGAGTGGGGAGGGGGAGGGGAGAAGAGTGACAAGGGAGGGAGAGGGGGGAGAAGAGAGTGACAAGGGAGGAGGGAGAGATTGACATCCATCACACACACATGCAATGCACCCCTTGCACACAGAAAAACACAATGCATTACACACACACACACACACACACAAACAATGCAACCCTTACACACATTCAATGCACCCTTTACACACGCACACACTGCATCCTGTACATACACAGAAACACACCTTGCAGCCCTTACACATACAAACACAGATTCACACAATGCATTCCTTACACACGTATCAGGACATCCCCTACACACCCCACCCCCTGTGCCAGGGATCCGTGGGCGGCTAGGAGGGGAGGCTGCACGCCACTTGCAGCACTCACCCTCAGTCCGTCGCCATCCGCGGTCTCCCCTCCTCTTACCTGTCGGCAAGAGCGGCGTCTCCTCTCTGCCGCTCACCGCTCGCTTCCTCCACGCCCCCCAGCGGCAGCATGTATAACGCTGCACACTGGGAGGTCACTGAATTATGCAAACGCCGGGGTCACATGAGTGACCCGGCGTTAAAGGAACAGTACCACAATCACAGTGGGAGGTATAGATATCCCCCACGTGTGATTGCTAATTCTGATTGGAAGTTATCCAATCAGAATTAAACCAAGGGTATTTATACTTACCTTTCCTGTCCCTCAGTGCCCTGTTGTGGTCTTGTGATACCTGTAGTGCTGTTCTCTCATGTTGCTCTCTGGTTTCCGATTATTTGGCTCGTTATTCCGATTATCCTGTCTTCTCCACTCCTTTGACCTCGGCTTGTTTCTCGTTCTCCCATTTTCTGGCTCCCTTTACTTGGCTTGTCTCCTGACCATTCTTAGCGTGCTTAGCCCGGCCACTCTAAGGACCGGTATAACATCTTTCCTCTCTGTGTCCTGTTAGCGTGTTAGGTTCCGGAATTGTGACACCCTGTGAACAAACTCATTGGTGGAACATGAAGGTGGACCCTGGGACCCAGACCTTGAGCTGTGTAAAGGGCCCCCCAAAAAATGGAGCTGCTTCCCGTTCTCACAGAATATTGATTTTTGTGACCACAGTTACAAACAGCCTTCAGAGAGCCTGTTCTACACCAGACCACTGGAGTCAGACTGCAGCTAGAGCCCATCATCATCCTCATCTGGTTGTAAGTAGGCAATCTAGTATATTATTTGTGGCACTAAGCTCTAATTTACCTCACATCAAAGAAACACTATAGTCCCCAGAACCACTGCAGCTTAATGTAGTTGTTCTGGTGTCTATAGCCTGTCCCTGCATGCCTTATAATGTAAACATGGTGGCACTGCTGCACTGGCGTTAGTTAACATGGCAGATCATCCTTGCACCGGCCCTGTAGGTGACTCATCAACATTTTGCAACACCTCAACCATCTTTGACATATTGATTGCCTTCTTCCCTCCTGCCTTCATGCCAGCAATAATGGCTTCCCAATAAGCCCTTAAATGGGGCATGTCAGCACCATTCACATTCCAATTTGGGTCAACATTTGGATAATGGGCTGCAGCCCATGCAGCTGGATTGGCCTGATTTTGAATACGGGCAGTTTCCTCAAGCGCTTTAATAGCCGCTTGATTAATCCGGGTCCTTTCCTCACAATTAAATAAAGTTAATAATAATTGCTGGCAATTGGCCCAGGTGGGATTGTGTGTTTGTACAATAGAGGTAACCAAATCTGTCATGACTTGAGGTTTGTCGGTATACAAAGAGTTATGAGTCTTCCAATTGAATAGATCAGTTGTGGTGAAGGGAACATAGACAAACACTGGATCTGCCCGTTGTATTTGGCCATTTTCGTCAATGTGTGTTGGGCCCGGTGTAAGTCGGAGGGGCATTTGGTAATGTCGGGGTTGAAGGGTACCAGTCATCTGTCGGGTTAATATAGGACTTCAGCAAGGCTGTTTTATAGTAAGTTCCGGTCTAGGGGTAGTAAGGCAAGGAGAATGAGGCGGGTTAATTTTACCGGGCGGAAGTTCAGTTAACAGGATGTTGCGGGCCGGGAGGAGCCTGACCAGGAACCAGAAGTTACGTTAATTCCGGATATATAGAACTAGTGGAGGTAGGTACCGGAAGGGGAGGACTCAGGGCAAGTGGGCTGGGCTCTAAACTAAATGAATGAGTGGGCAGGGACAATGGGGAACGGGGAGTGGCAACACCAGCAGCACCTCCTCTAACCTTAGAGCAGAAGTAAGGGGGTGGGGATGGAAGTTCAGACTCAGAAGGAGAGTCTTAAATGGGCAGGGTTGTGGCCCTAATGGACAGGCAAGTCCTGGCCACCATGAGGCGACATTGCTCCTCGTGGCATACCTTAATCCATTTAGGCGATTCTTCCACAATCTGTTTCCAACAATCAATATACGGAAACTGATCATAGAATTCAGGCCTACCAGATACAACCGTGTGCACACGTTGTACTAGAGTTAGATCAAGACTACCATGTGGAGGCCATGCAGTCACCAAGATAGGCCACTCTCTACTACATAATGTAGTCAAACGCTTTGGGGATAAATTCACCCCCAAATCACAAACTTTATATCCCTTTGCAAAGTTTTTCAACATACACGACAAGGGATCAACAATCTCTGAGTCAGACGCACCCATACTTGCAACGGAGCGTCCAATACAAAGAAACAATACCCCAAACACTTGTTTCCCCGGCAACAGCACCAAGTGGCACAGTTGCTAGGCCAAACATACACACGAAAACACGCAGAGAATTCTTGTACATACAGTGATATCACGACGTCTCACTCACAAAAGATTTACCAAACACTAGATACTTTTCTCTGTAACTATAAATCAAACCCTACAATTATCCACACTATAAATCAACTTTTAACTAACCGACTATATCACAGTCTAGTAACCTCATCTTTACAATCAGTGGTTACAGTACAGTTAGCAAGTGGTTATAATACAGTTTTAAAGTCACAGATCAGTTAGTAACAGTAATGGTGTTACACATATAACATAAGACAACAGTTTTTAGTAATTTTTACACAACGTCAGTAGTTATAGTACATGGTTATGGTTAACGGTTATAATACCGTGCGCTATTATACAGTATACACACAATTTACACTCCCACTAGACGGCAGAGCTCAAGCTTTCTAGCAGGACATACAATTCACCAACTACAGTATATTTAACAACATTTACAATAATCCCAACTATTCTAATTGGCCAGCACCTCGAGAACTATCTAACTATTTACACCAGGATTCGGTTAGTCTACGCTGCCCAAGCACCACATATAGCGAACTAGTGGGCGGAATTTACAACAGTACCCATTTAGTCTATCTACTCTATCAATAGTCTAGTGGCTGAATTTACAACAGAGCACACTTAGCCAAGATAGGTTGAGAGCTAGCAGATGGAATGTACACCAAAATCTGCTTAGTCTCGCCTCCCTGACCTAGCGACCGAAATTTACACCTAGACACGCTAGTCAAGACAGGACACCGGTGTCCGGCATAAACTATTTACACCAAGATTTAGCCTGACCCAAACCACCTATATTAGATGGGCTGACTACAGAGCGTCTAATTTCCAGATAGGCGGTGCGCCATCGCTTCTTCCCTTCTGAGGTAGGGGGCAATCCAATAACCGGTTCCAAATATAAAACCCCTCACTGTCTTAGGTCGGGTGAGTTGTCCCACCCAACACACCTCCTTTTATA